ACATCTATAGATATAATGTTAACATCTATATGGTAGTATTTAACATTTCTACATCTATAGATATAATGTTAACATCTATATGGTAGTATTTAACATTTCTACATCTATAGATATAATGTTAACATATATATGGTAGTATTTAACATTTCTACATCTATAGATATAATGTTAATATCTATATGGTAGTATTTAACATTTCTACATCTATAGATATAATGTTAACATCTATATGGTAGTATTTAACATTTCTACATCTATAGATATAATGTTAACATCTATATGGTAGTATTTAACATTTCTACATATATAACATAAAGTCAACGTCAATACTTAATCAGTTATTCAAACAAAGTTTAAGTTACTGTTGTTATGATATAGTTTATAAACATTACTATCCGAGTGGTTATTCAAGTGATTTTAAACTGCTATGGTTATGATATAGTTTATAAACGTTACTAACAGAGTAGTTATTCAAGTTATTTATAAACGTCATGGTTATGATATAGTTTGTAAAAGTTACCTACTGATGGATTATTCAACTAAAGTTTAAACTACTATAGTTATGATATAGTTTATAAAAGATACTAACAGAGTGATTACTCAAGTAGAGTTGAAACTACTGTGCTAATGATATAGTTTGTAAAAGTCACTAGTGGTTATTCAAGTAGAGTTTAAACTGCGATGGTTATGATATAGTTTATATGCGTTATTAATAGTGCGGGTATTCAATTACAGCTTAAGGTACTTTGGGTATGATGTACTTTATAAACGGTAGTAACAGGGTAGTTATTAAAGCAGAATTTAAACTACTGTGGTTATGATATACCTTGTAAACGTTATTAACAGGGGGTTATTGAAGTACAGTTTAAACTACTGTGATTATGATATAGTTTATAAAAGTTACTAACAGAGTGGTTATTCAAGTAGATTTAAAACAATTATGGCTATGATATAGATTATAAAAGTAACTAACAGAGTGGTTATTCAAGTAGAGTTTAAATTAAAGTGGTTATGGTATACTTTATAAACGTTAGTAATAGGATGGTTATTCAAATACAATTTAAACAACAGTTATTATGATATAAATTAAAATCGTTCATAAATTGCGTTATTCAAGTTGATTTTAAACTATTGTGGTTATGAAGTAGTCTATAAACGTCACTAGTGGTTATTTAATTGTCTTTAAACTACTGTGGTTATGAAATACTTTATAAACGTTACTAACAGGAGGGTTTTCAAGTATAGATTAAACTACTGTGGTTATGATGTTGTTTATAAACTTCAAAGTTATTATTGAAGTAGAGTTAAAATATTGTGGTTTTGATATAGTTTGTAAACGTCACTTGTGGTTATTTAAGAAGAGTTTAAACTTCTGTGGTTATGATATACTTTATAAACGTTACTATCAGAGTGGTTATTGAAGTAGGTTTTAACTAATATGAATATGATATAGTTTATAATATTTACTAACACAGTGGTTATTCAAGTTGAGTTTAAACTACAGTGGTTTTTGTATACTTTATAAACGTTACTAATATGGAGGTTGTTCAAGTAAAGTTTATAATACTGTGGTTATGATATAGTTTATAAACGATACTAACAGGGTGGTTATTCAACTGGTTTTAAACTGCTGTGGTTATGATATACTTTATAAACTTTAGTAACAGGGTGGTTTTTCAAGTAGAATTTAAACTACTGTGGTTCTGATATACTTTAAATTCGTTCATAACGGCTTGGTTAGTCAAGTGGATTTCCAGCTATTGTGGTTACGATGTAGTCTATAAACTTCACTAGTGGTTATTCAAGTAGAGTTTAAACTACTGTGGTTATGATATACTTTATAAACGTTAGTAACTGGCTCGTTATACAATTAGAATTTGAACTACTGTGGTTATGATGCTGTTTATAAACGTTACTAGTGGTTATTGAAGTAGAATTTTGACTACTGTGGTTATAATATACTTTATAAACGTTACTATGAGAGTGGTTATTGAAGTAGGTTTTAACTTATATGAACATGATGTTGTTTATAATGTTTACTAACACAGTGGTTACTCAAGTTGAGTTTAAACTACTGTGGTTATTATATAGTTTATAAACGTTATTAACAGAGTGGTTATTCAAGTAGATTTTAAGCTACTATGGTTTTTATATAGATTATAAACGTTAATTACAGGGTGGTTATTCAAGTAGAGTTTAGATTATTGTGGTTATGATATACTTTATAGACGTTAATAACAGGATGATTATTCAAGTAAATTTTAACTAATATGGTTATTATATACTTTATAAACGTTACTAACAGAGTGGTTATTCAAGTAGAGTTTAAACTACTGTGTTTATAATGTGGTTTATAAACGTCACTATTCGTTATTCAATTAGAATTGAATTTACTGTGGTTATGAAGTAGTTTATAAACGTCACTAGTGGTTATTCAAAAAGAGTTTAAACTACTATGGTTATGATGTTATTTATAAAAGTTACTAACAGAGTGATTATTCAAGTAGCGTTTAAATTTCTGTGGTTATGGTATATATTTATAAAAGTCACTAGTCGTTATTCCAGTGATTTTAAATACTGTGGTTATGGCTTACTTTATCAACGTTACTATCAGAGTGGTTATTCAAGTACAGTTTAAACTATTTGGTTATGAGTTAGTTGATAAACGTCACTAGTGGTTTTTCAACTTTATTAAAAAATATTTGGAAGGTTCAGGATGTTCTGTTTTCAATAGTTTAATAATCATTTATATACAGGTTTTGTCTTTTTTGTTTTAATAAAATACCTCATCTTTATAGATGATCTTTATAATGATTTGTAGAAATATTTAAATACGAAATAAAATGTTTGTTACTACATACATTTTACCGAATGCTTCATTTATGGGAGAGCCGTTAGGAACAGCAAAAGTGTAGTACATGTTATAAAACTGTTCTTCGCCAAAATGATAATTTCTTATTCCAAGATTTGCCAGACTACCTTCCATGGAAGCTCGAGGACACACAAAAGCAAAGGATTTCTCTATTGCTCGGATAACTCCTGCTTCCACAGTTCTTACTACTGTTTCTGCTTCATTTTTTCTGATCTGTTTCCCAATCGTTTGCATGTTTCCTTTTGTTGCACTCTGAAATATTGTTTATTTGATTATTTGTTTGTTTGAAGTTCAGGTTAGCTTAAAACCTTACAATTACGAAATATTTCTAGATGAGAAATTGATTTTAAGGACTTGCTTGTGGACTGCAGAATAACCTCAAATTGAGGTAATCATTTACGATCTAGAGATTTGAAAACGTTTAGTTGCTTGAAAAAATGAATGGAATGCATAATGTCTAATAAATGATAGAGAAATAACATTTTCCTGTAATTAAATAAAGTACAAAAATACACTTAATTAATTATAATACAGAAAAAAATAACTGACGTTTTTGTCATATCGATAAATGTTTAAATGAACACATGACGATTAGAAAGATGGACAACGTTACAAAGGAAGATCTTATTAATAAGTAGTATAACTTGTTAAACGCTATGGAACATTACTGTTGAACATGCTGCCACGTAACATAAAATGAAATAGTGCCCCGGTGGGACAGCTGTAAGTCTTTGTTTTTACAATGCCAAACCCAGGGATTCGAGTCCCCTCGGTGGACACAGCAGATACCTCGATATGGCTTTGCTAAAGGAAAACACACACACATAGCAATGAAATAACGTGTCTTGGTTAATAACCTACATGGTTTTCCGAGTCTAATCATCAGCACTACAGATGCTCTAGTATCAGCTGAAAATGAAATAACTTTTAAGGAACGCACCTCTTTATGGTAATAGAACTCCTTTGTCAATACACCCTACTTACAACTTGAAGATAAACGGTCTATAACATGAAGGTTAAGCTCTTGGCTCACCAGAATCCAGTATCCTTAAGAACCATTCTGTTTCTAGATGTGACTCTGATATGTTGATAATACCTTCGTAATATGGCCACACGCTAAAGAAGAAATTCGAGAATACGTGACCAACATGAACAGGAAACATCCTGTACAAATCACAATGGAAAAACAAACAAAACCAAAACAGGCAGTAAGTCACTATTCCATGACTGATAGTTATCAAGACACATAACTAATAACTACACGATTTTACAAGGAACTTAACTATACGGGTAACGATAGTTACCAAGACACATAACTAATAACTACACGATTTTACAAGGAACTTAACTATACGGGTAAATATCTTGACTTTAACTGATAACACCAACAAGGTGAGAAATAGGGAGATCATAGAGGAGAGGGGGTAGTTTCCAAAATGAACAACCTACAAAGGAAGAAAAACCTACACTTCAACCCTCATTAACAATGTTTACCAAACCACTTAAATGCCCTGTGGATACCAAAATCACTGTTCGACAACGGAAGTCACGTGACGTGTTACCAGCGTTTTACCAGCGGGTATCATGTTACCCGAGCGTTTGCTAAACGCCATTTATTTTAGTATAAAAGCCCGGCAAATAAAGCGGAGATATAATTGCAGATAGACAGATTTAGAGACAGATAATTGAGTCAAGTGAGCGGTAGTGACTATAAATAAAGTGTGTGAATCGTTGTGAATTATAGCGTGTGTTTAAGTTAAAGTGACTGTGGAAATTAAAGGTATTGCAAAGTTGTGTTGAGAAATAGTAAACTAGTTTTATTTAAGAAAGGACTTGTATCGCTGAAGTTCTTCGGAAAGAATTTTTACAGGAAAATAACAAACGACCAGAGACGTAACAAATTGGTGGGAGAAGTAGGATGAAAAAAAAAAAGATAGAAACGAGAAGTGCCAAATCAAACTACAACTTAGCAGATTTGATGGCAGCAATACAATAACAACAAAAGAGACAAGAAGAACGAGAAAAGTAACAAGAATAGAGACAACAGCAGTGGCAAAAAACTTGCAAAAGTGGCAGCTCGAACAGCAAAATAAACAAAATATTACAGCAGTTGTTGGAGGATAAAGAAAAGAAACAAGAGGAGAGATTACAACAGTGGCAACTGAAACAAGAAAGGAAACAGGAAGAAAGTTTCCAACAGTTGCAAGAAAGTCAGCAGCAACTACAGGAAAGTCAACAACAGTGGCAAGAAATGCAAATGGAAAACATTAGTAAATTTCAAAGTGAATTAAATACATTAAAGGATGATTTATCTAACCAGCCTCGGACAACGGGAAGCCCTTCCACACCCCGCAGCTAAACCCTAATACAGACATCTTCAGTCCTGTCAGAAGTCACATTCCAGACATGAGTGTCAGCAATAGGGTTGATCTAGTACGAAGGAAGCCACAGGAATTCGATCGGAAGGCACCGTGGGAAGCAAATAGAGCACAATTTGAGCTCCTGGCAGAAATCAATGGATGGACAGAGAAACAGAAAGCAATGTACCTGGCAACGAGCCTGAAAGGAAAACCACTGGAAATACTTGGACAGTTGTAAGCAGACGACAGGCACAACTATAGAGCACTGGTAGCGGCACTAGAACTCAGTTATGGAACTCAAAATTAGGCAGACGACTACAGGACTGGGTTTAGGACTACAGTCCGTGCTAAAGGGGAGAGCCTGCAAGAGCTGGCACAGGACTTGAAAAATATAGCACACAAGGCCTACCCAACTGTACCACCCGATGTCCTCAAGCTGTTTGTAGATGCCTTTGACAGTTCACAACTGAAGATACAAGTGAAACAAGCACACCCCTCTACTGTGCAGGATGCAATGGCCAGAGCTCTTGAATTTGAATCCTATGTTAAGTCCAGCACAGAGGTACCAAGGTTGGTACAGTCATCTGGATTCAAGGCCAGAAAAGGTCAACTTTCAGAGAGGTTTGAGGGACTTTGCTGGCACTGTAACAAACCTGGGTACAAGACAGTTCAATGCTGGAAACTTCAACACAGGGAAGATGCCACGGCAGGAATGTCTTCTACCAAGGAAGGTTGTTGGAACTGTGGAGAGCAAGGACATATGAGGAACCAGTGTAAGAAGAAT